GAGAGAGAGAGAGAGAGAGAGAGAGAGGGGGGGACGAAGAGAGAATACTTACGAGAGCGAAAGAGGCACAGGCCGAGAGACAAAGAGGGAGAAAGACAAAGATACAGAATAAAGAGAAAGAGAGGAGACAGAGAGAAAGAGAAAGAGGGTAGAGAGAGAGAGAGAGAGATACAGAGATAGAGAGAGAGAGAAAGAGAGAGAGAAAGGGATAGAGAGAAAGAGAGAGAGAAAGAGATAGAGAGAAAGAGAGAGAGAATTATTCACTGGCTTACATTCATTAATAAGACGGCTAGAAAGAGAATAAGAATGCGATTGATGTTTCATCATTTATTTTCCATTCATTGAAAATACTAAATGGTATCAGCATTTTACTTTTTTAAAAGCCACACACATTTTTATACATGTAAAATTCATTTACAGCTTGTGACATTTGTCCGCTGAACGAGATAGAAACTTTTGCTCACAGCAGAGATTTATTGGCTTTACTTAAGTTTCTGATGAATAGTTTTATGAATATTTCAAAATAAAACAACACACTACACAAAACATGAATGTTGAAAGCAAGCTGGCATTGAACTTGATGTAAACTGATGGATCGGACGTTTGCATTTTTTAAAACAGCCGAAAGACAAAAATGAGAAAGATGAGTTTTGTATTAATAAGATCCTACATAATCATGCCAACACGTATAAACTGGTATAAATAAAACAGGGATTGCTATGCTCATCTGCATAGCCGACAGCAACGAAATCCTCATCAATAAATCAATTTCCCTCTAGTGTTTTATTAAAACTCTGAACTGAAACCTATTTTGAAACACCTGGGCCTCATCATCATTTGTTGATCAAGAAATTGTCGGCAAACTATTCTGTAGTTCCAAGCTCAGAAAGCAAAACATTTCAGAAGAGTTGTGTTTTTTTTAAAAACATGCAACATTCTTTTGTCATGTGCACGTACGTATGTGCCTTGTCTTGCTTTTTTTTTACATCTAACTATTGAATTTCGACAACATATTTCTAGATCTACACGCAGTCGATACCAGTAAACTAAACATTATGATCTGAAATAAAAAATAAAATTTCAAAATGTTGGGTTTAATACGCCTGGGCAGCTGGCCCACGAAATATGTTGTTATGGCTTTTGTGTCTGGAACTGAAGATATGCAAGGCTTCCGGTGTGAAGGATGGCTTTGACTGTCAATAGACATGGATTTTTTTTCCTAAAAAGCGTAGCTTCCACAACAACAACAACAACAACAACAACAACAACAACAACAACAACAACAACAACAACAACAACAACAACAACAACAAAGGTAGCAGCTTCTGACAAAGAAGTCTTCTGGGATTGAGATTGTCTTTTGAAGCTGACAAGAAACTCATTGCTTCCTTCGGAAGTGGAGGAACTTCCACTGTGGGGGGTTTTCTACCAAATGTTTACACCTCTTCCGACACAGTCTATACATTTAACTCCAAAGAGATTGTTTTGAAGGCTCATGTTGGTCAAATTTAGGGACCTAATACATCATATCGTACGATGAGCTATAACTCCGACTGCTCTGTTGTCATATTATTTTTATAAGCGACATAGAATACAGCGTAGTATGCCAAAGACACTACTCCACCTAAATGTGATGGATTTGAAACTAGACCCAACGCCACAGCAATTTCATTTTTAAAACCCTTCTGGTTCTCTTCTGATCAACAACGTTTAGTTTAGTTTATAGTTAAGTTTAGTTTAGTTTAGGTTAGTTGAAAGAAAGAGAAAACCACTCCAGAGTGCTCGCCAACCACCCACTACAATACATTTGTTGAGAAAAGTGATGGTATACATGTGCATAACGAGCAAATAATAATCTAAACAATTTTAAAAGAAGCTGCAAAATTGTCCGTTCAGCTCTTTGTTCAACATGCCAGCGGCCACCCCTCCGATGATGTAGAAGAGAAAGGCGGGAGTGGACAAACCCAGACCTGAGCTGTAGTGAATCGAGATGAGGACACTCGCGACGAGCATCAATACAGCTGTGGAAGACGTGGGAGAGTTAGAGGGGTGGGTGGAAGGAAGGGGGTGAGGGGGGTGGTGGATTTGGAGTTAAGGTTGCTGAGTGGGGTAAGTGGGGGGGGGGGGAGTTATAAAAAGATGGAACATAACAAGATTGTTCACTCAGCCAAAAAGTGTTCGCGAAAGTCAGCGCATTGCTTCAGATGGCACTGCGGGCTTTGTTTTGAAGCTCTCTTTCGTTTCTCCAGAAGAAGAATAGGAAGAGCACAGTTTGATAGTTCCACTTTTTATTGTTTTTCACACAAGTAGGGTAACCCTGTTCACAAAGTCCACGCTTTTTCGGAGAGTGCGCCACCGAATTTTGAAGACACTTTTTAAATAGGCTCAAAGAGAAGAGTGAAATATCTTGTATACGCGAACTTTGGTTATACGAGCGATGGATGTTTAATGAGTCTTTACCCTCGCTATGAAGGAACGTTCACATAACGATGAAACATAGAGAATGTAATTCCTATCTCTCCAGAACACTGCTTGTGAAATTTGGGGAAAGTCCAAAGAGCGGTGAACACATGAAAGCATTCTACGGTTCGTGAATACCAACAATGATCGTACATAACAAGATGGTTCGTTCAGTCAAAAAAGTGTCCCCGGAAGTCTGCTCATTACTTCAAATGGCGCTGCAGTCTTTGTTTTGAAGCTCTCTTTCGTTTCTCCAGAAGAATAGGAATAGCATCTCCTTGCGTGCGCAGATCGACTGCTGTTCAACAGCTGTTCATGTTCGATGTTTGTTCAGTGCGGAGTTTTAGGGGGGGGGGGGTTTAATGACCTCTCGCCTCCCAATCTAAAGTCAAATTAAAGGAAGAAAACAGAGGTTTTTTGTCTGCGTAACCATTCAAAAAACGTTCTTAAGAAATTTGAATTTTTATTTATTCAAAAACTTGTTAGTTTCACTTTGATTTTTTCACACAAGTAGGGTAACTCTGCTCGCAAAGGGTGCGCATTTGGGAAGAGGGCGCCACCGAATTTTGAGGACACTTTTTTAATTGGCTCAAAGAGTGGAGTGAACCATCTTGTTGTGTGCGATCATTGATACCAATAGATAGTCTATTCCCCTGCTGCAGGACATCGCTCTAGCGCACAGAGTTGTATAGGCACCTCAGACGACAAACCAATGTAACTACGGAATTTTTCCACATCTACCTAGTGCACCGAATACAGCACCCTCCGACTTTTTTTTTTCTTTTTCACAAATCTTAAAAAGTTCTCTTAAGAACAGGGTTTAGATAGTGAGGACAATGTTGTATCTACAGTGGAGAATTAGTTTAAGTCCCAACTGACGCTCAAGAGCTTTTGATGGCTAAACAAAGATGGCAAACGTATGTCAATTGGCAGGGTATCCATAGAGAGACGTAGCATAGTGGGTTTCAATTTTTTACGTTCAAGCTTGCTTCTTTCATAGTTAAAGGGTATTGAATGCCCTTCGTAGGAGCTGAAATGTAAAATGATGACAAAGGATAGTTAAAGGTGATCAGGGAGACAAAGGAGGGTAAAAATAAATGTGGACACCCACC